TTGAAGAAAGAGTGCTACACACTCTGTTCCTTAAGAACCGTTGAAACGACTCTTTTTGAGATCCGTAGGTGGCCTGTTGCAATGCTAAATTTCGTTCCCATATCCCATACACCCTCATTTTCCAGTGGCAGTGTAAATTTTTCCGACTCTCATCCCGGGCGACCTCTATTAATTAAAGGACCTACCTTTTGTATTTATTAGTAAAGTGTACTTTTCCTGAACATGCATGAAATATTTGCCACTGGACGTTTAGCAACCAATAACCAATCAATCATATCACTGTGTGCACAGTTGATTATGAAATGTTACGTAAATATTACTGAAAAAGACACAAATTACGGAAATTTTAATGCCTTTTTACTGATTGCACTCAAAGGGGTTGGCATCTTTGCATTGAAAGAGATAAATTTGATCACACAATTATTTCAATTTACAAAATCCAATATAAAGATAAAATGAAAAATCAGTCATTTGTCTAATAATAGCTCAAAACAAGTCAATTTGTCGTTTCATTATCCACAATATAGATACAGGTCTTTTTAGTAAATAAATTAATTGAAATATATCCATTTTGTTTGTCATGCTGTATTGAAATCTATACATATAAGATGATCCTTTAACAACTATTTTCAAAACCGAATTAAAAACATCGACATGGGAATACTTGATCAATTGTTTCATTTAATGTCATGATATATATTTTATGGTTAAATCATTCTAGCAGTAAGCAAACAAACATAAATTAAAGGTTTCAATTAGTGAATGTAAAACATTCAATAATTAAAACATGAAATTGTTGAAAATCTAGCTATTAAATAGTACTCATAACTTTCAATTGAAAACAAACCCAGCTATTTGAGGAATAATTAAATCTTACGCCTTCACTATTCTTCTTCTGCCTTTGCATAATTAAAATTTAAAAGCTACATATTAGGACGTTTTTCGCAAGTTATTGCTAATTCTAATTATGAATGTAGTTCATTGATACTGTGATTGTTTGATTGTTTGATTGATTTTTGGTTTTAACGCTGCCAGTTTTTTTAAGTGGAGGAAACCGGAGTGTCCGGAAAGAACCATCATCCTTCGACAGTAAAACCGTTTATCCTAGTCAGTTAAGATTGGAATCGAACGCACCTGCCACGTGCAGGGTGCAAACCCACTTCCTCAGGCTATGTTTATAACATATTTACACTACATCATTTGGATCTGTACTGATTGATACTTTAGTATGGTAGAAGATGATTGAAAGTTGTAATTGGCTTTCAACTAACTTTCAAAAAAAGAGGGGCGGAAGATACCAAAGGGACAACTAAACTCATAAGTCGAAAATAAACTAACAACACCATGGCAAAACATAAAAAGAAAAAGACCGAAAGATAAACAACAGTTTACAAAACACAACATAGAAAACTTAAGACTGAGCAACATGAACCCCATCAAAAAACCGGGGGTGATCTCATGTGTTGCTACATAGAATTGATTTCATAAATATGTTTAACACCGCCTAATTCTTTGTGTGCCTGTCCCAGGTGAGAAGCACATAGTTCAGTGGTTGCGTTGGTTAATGTCGGTGATATTAGTTTTTTGTAAATTGTTTTGTTATAAAAGAGGGACAAAAGATACCAGAGGGATAGTCAAACTCATAGATCGAAAACAAACTGACAACGCCATGACCAAAAATAAAAAAACAAACAGACAAATAATAGTACAGATGACACAACATAGAAAACTAAAGACTAAGCAACACGAACCCAACCAAAAACTGGGGGTTATATCAGGTGCTCCGGAAGGGTAAGCAGATCCTGCTCCACATGTGGCAACCGTCGTGTTGCTTATGTTATTACAAAACCGGTAAATAGTCTACTTCGGTAGGTCACATTCGTGTAAAGGGAAGGGTATTGTTGTTACGACATTAGGAACATATCCGATATCATCTGTGAAACGGTTATTCCATAACGGTCAACCAACTCGTGATGGCGTCCGTAAAATTTACGAAGGGATGATTTCAACTTCACCATTTGGAACTAATAAACTAATAAAGAAGGCCGTTGGTTTTCTCGTCATGAATGCTTCACATTTTTCATGGAGGGCTTTTTATAACCGACTATACGTTATGGGGTTTTCTCGTTGTTGAAGGCCTTATGTTGGCCTATAATTGCTTACGTCCACTTCATTTGAAATCTGGTGGAAAGCTGTCTCATTGGCAATCATACTACATTTCCTAATTTTTAAATAATTATGCAGTAAACGAACTATTTTGACTGCTTGGCCACCGAGTACTAAATTTACCGCAGTGAATATGTCTGCGATTTAAATGAAAGACTAAACATGACTTTATATTTTATTGTTTAGACTTTTAAGATGATGTTAAGATCAAAATGACCGTTAAAGACTAAAATTTATTTATTGGTGATAGCAGATGTGTTCCTTTATTGTGAAGTAACACAACATAATTGTCAAACTCAATAAAGATCAGTCTTAATTTCATTCAATACAAAAAAAATGAAAAAACACCGTCCGTTACTTTGATGAAATTCCAGCTTTAGATAAGCAAGAATTCACTTTTTACACAGCAAAACATTTACCCAAGGAAACTGACTTTCAATAACTCGAAATAATTGTCCTATTTTTGATATTTCATGTTCACGCAAGAGACTCAGTACGAAAATGTACGACAAAAGAGTCGATTTGTACATTTCCTTCTTTTTTTCTTTCCTTTTTTTTTTGTTGGCGATGTTTTTTTTTTTTTTTTTTTTGGTTTTTTTTTCCCCGCCTTACCACTGTGTATATTTTCCAACTCGTTCGCTTTGTCTTTTCCTGTAGTGACATTTTTGATTTTAACGAATATATTTAGATACAATATATAACCTACTTATAACTAATAAATTATAAGGTCAAGATTTAGTTTGAAGGTTTGGCTGTACCCGAAGAAAACGGGATATCACATTTCTTAAGGTGATATTATTTGTAGGATTCGTAAATTTATATACGACCCTGGTAAATCTATTTTTCATTTGAATAAACTTTCTTAAAGGTTATCAATTTAAAACTAAAGTTATATCTTTGAATATTGCGTTTGCTTTTGTTGTAGGTCAGTGTTTCTGTTGTTCCGTTGTTTTCCTCTTATAGTTGATGTATTTCCTTCGGTTTTAGTTTGTTACCCGGATTTGTTTTTGTTTAATCGAATTATGACTATTGAACAGAGTATACTACTGTTGCCTTTATTTATCAGTAATTACATTGACTTTGTTTTTAACAAATCATGTAAATTAAATGTGTTTTGTTATACAGTTATAAACACTTATTGCCCCTTCATTCTGTCAATACTTTATTTTGGCATTGCGTGATGTCATGCTTTCTTAGACAGTTTATAACGTATTAACACTACATATGTTAGGTGTGAACTGACTGATATTTTAATCTGAGAAAATTCAGTTAATTTATTAGCTGAAATTGACTTTGAACTACTAGTATCTCTCAGTAACTGATATACCGTTGCGTTGTGGTTTTTTTATGTTTTCTATTTTTTGCGTCGATCTGATGAGTTAAGCCCTTTCCAACTGATTTATTCTTATGTCTTTATGCCACACCATTTTCCTAAGTTAGAGGAAGGTTGAGCGATCACACACATTTTTTTACTCCGCCATATACATTTGGTGTTTCTCCCATTAAGGAAGCCTGACATTCAGTATTTGTTTTTTGGATGATGTATGTTGCATGTTTTCTTTATTGTGTTTAGCACAATTCAGGTGTTTTGGTTTCTCTTTTGATTTTTTTTTTTATTTTGTATTGTCAAACTTGACATAGTCATGAGTCGTACGCAAACCTATAATTTCTTAAATCCACGTCATTTAGACTCTTATGGATAGCTGTCTAATTGGTAATTATACCCTATTTCCCTTTTTTGTATCGTTAAACGACAGTAGGAACATATTTGCTTCAAACTTAAAAAACAAACAATAAAACGGAAAAGGAAAATTCGAATTGGTGCGTTTACTACATATGACAAAATCCACGCAAACAACTTTTAATTGTATGGATTTTTTTTTAAATACATTTATACAATTTCCCCATATAGAATTCATAAGAACGTGTTTTAATAATGTAAATATCAGTATGAGAGGTCAACAGACAAACTTATCTATAATTAGCTGTCCTAATGATATATAATTTTATGTAAGGTTTTTTTCGAAGGGGACGAGGGTCGTTTATTGAAAATCATTTATTTAAACAAAACAACTTAAATGTTAATCATATTAATAATAAATGTGTAATATCTACATCCTACTGATGAAGGATGAACCGATTGGGCTTAAAGTTTGCATCTTTTGTACTAGAAAAGCACAACAAATGTCGAAATAAAGTTTTCCGTCTTAGGATTGTTTGCAGGGCATTAACACACTCTTCGTTTTTGGCCTTCAATAACAAATAAAAGCCAATCCAAGCATTGTATATGCACATCATTTCGGGGAAGTAGAAAGATCGACATAGTCCAAACTCAAGTGTTGATTCGAAAAAGTCGTTTAATACGATACAATAGTATCTTTTTCGTATATATTTCATGTTGGTATCGTTGCAGAAATCTGTAGACGTTTAATATGTCTTGTTTGTGAAGTTTCGTCATTTTTCAGTTATGCAACACCTACTAATTTGATAGTTGTTTTTATCTTACTCTACGTTTATCTTTCCAATTGTTCGTTGACCAGGAAAACACGATAATTCACTTATTTTTACTAAAGATAAAAATACGGAGATGTGATGTGATTGCCAATGAGTCAACTATCCGCCAAAGTTCAAATGATGTAAGCAATTAAAAGTATTTAAAGTATGGATTGCAGTCATAGCTGGTACTCTTGAAAGATATAAACAGAGTATAGATTTATTTATCATAACTTCAAAATATTATGTACAATTTCGTTGTACGATATAGTAAATAACCCCTAGGATACCTCCGAATTAAGGTATATAAACATTTACAATATACATCTAAGTACTATTATTTGTTCTACGTATGCAGATAAATGATGTTCCGACTGAATGTGTTTGTAGGAATTTTTATTTTAACCTTCTATGTGTGTATTGCAACAGCTATTCCAAGTAAGTACTTCATACGTTAAAGGAACTTGTTATATCGGATTAAGTTTAAAATTGGATCTTGTTTTGTTATCCTCTATGTGTTTTTTTTTTCGAGCGTCACTGATGTGTCTTTTGTAGACGAAACGCTAGTCTGACATACAAAAGTATAACCCTGGTATCTTTGATCATTTTTATTCCTTTACTACAGAGAAAGTCACTGTTTCCAAACGAGTGTAATGATATCTATTTACATTAAATGAAGGTTTTTCATTTAAGTATTTTCCTTTTACGTTTTTCTTGAAAATTTCGATTGAAACAAATCATATTTCTCTTTTTATATATAACATATATATTTGATTTGTGTACAACATGTTAAAGGTCTTCAGTATTCATCAAAAACAATTGTGTTTGTAAATATTAACAACAGTAAACGGATACATGTACAAAACAAAAATTATTGCATAACGTAATAATGCGCTGGTTTTAATACATATGAAAGGCTATCTTCTAGGTGATATAGTCACCCAAACATTGGCCTAATTGTCATATCTTATTTATATTATTGTATTACGTCTTAAATCAATAAGGTTTTGCTTTTGGTTTGAAAAAAAGCCTTTTAGCAATTTCTGTCATCAACATTACAGTATTGGCTACTTGATTAGTTCAGTGTTCTTGTATGTTTGCTATTTCATGAAACGTGAAAGGTTGATATTTAATTATTTACAACACTTAACATTTGTGTAAGAATAAATAGAACATACAGACAAAACTAACACAATTGAAAACATCTAGTACTAGGGAGAAATTGGCTGATCCTATTACTAAAAGTAAAAATAGTAAACGCCATTTGTTTATCCGGTGATTGATCAATGTAATTATTATCCCGGATTAAAAGATATCTTTTCATTAACCATAAAATTCAAATTCAAATAACGTAATGCATAACATTTGTAACAAAATAATCTGTATTAAATAATTTATTTGACGTAATTTTGTATTGTCAGCCACGGATGAAGGTTGTGCTGCTATAAAGGGAAGATGTCAAAATGTACGGATCGCACCTTGCACTGGTGGCAATAAATTTTATGAGTTGTTATGTGCAGGAACTGATCAGTTTTGCTGTGCCAGGGAAACTGCTAGTAATTATAATTTACTTTTATTCTTTCTTGAACCTTTATATCCTTAACTAAATGTACGTTCGAACATTTTATGTGCACATAAAGTCGTCCAACTCTGCTTTAAAAAAAGAATAAAATGTTGTTGTTTGGTGGTATTACTATAAATCCGTACTAAGTCTAAAATGGCCAATATTTATACAGTAACTATGATACTGATTTTTACTCGACCATTCTAAAAAGGTCTGAACATAACTTGATATTACGAAACAGTAGTCTGAACCATACGAAACATTATGAACTTATTGAAACTTAATAAACCTGAGGATTGTTTTGCATGTTTGAGGCCTCACTGTGGCTTTGGGGGTAGGGAGCGGCAATGGGAGCGCTGTTCCTTTGCGTTTTGTGTTTATTTCTGGGGATGTACTAATTTTGTGTCATGCATGGCTACCACACATCCTTTGTTTTTCTATTATATTTTACCTTGACTTGACCAGTTCATATCCATATAATAAAGTATGAACCATACTCAATTGAAGTCTAAACCAAACCCGACTCATGTCTTAACTTTACTTAACCTTAATTTTTGTAAGCCATGTTTAACATCTCTAGAATATATTCACTTGCTTGTGACAACTTTCCTTTCTATATACTTAGCTTTTTGACTTAACGCCCATAATATCCTTATTACTTTCAGCACATCGCGGGACAAAAAAATGCGAAGTCACCAGGATTCTGTAGTTCTAGCATCATATGTTAGGCATTTATTAAATGTAAAAAAAATATATTGCGGAGTGAACTAAACATTTCTAACTGAAGGGCTAACTAACAAATATCCATCCTGGTGACTGTGTAATTGAATGTCACAGGTGGACATCGATGCTTCAAATCTGTACTTCAAAGGTACATCATTGTTGTTATAGGTGATCTTTGGAATGGAAAAATGAAAAATATAGAAAGTTGAAAATTAGTAAATATCATTGACTAATAAACTCTACATTTTATAAATAACCAAATAAAGAATTATCAAAATTATTATTAGTATTAAAATAAATGATATGTCTAGGTATATATTTCTTCCAAAGGATGTACGAGTATAGATCAAAACAAAAATAAGTTAATAAAAAATAAGCTGAAATACATAGAATAGTGTTGTATTTACCCATGGTTGCCAACTTTAATGTTATATACTACTATTTATATTCCATAATGAAAATTTATATAAAATATTAAGTAAAAATGTCTTTTAGTTCTTGTGTTGTTGGGTTTCTATAGCAATGACCTATACCCTAAATTTCATTAATTGTCTATACCTGGTCAGCGACTGGTTTTCTCAATTTCTAATGTATTCCTGTTAATAAAAACGTGTTTTATCTCAAGTTTAGTGGTAGATATTATTTATTGGACTTTATCTGTCCAGGAATTGTTTTTTATAAAGTAGATCAACCTTAATATTATAATTTTAATTTTATTACAGCTGATTTGAATTTGTTTGCCTTCTGTGAAATCAACACGTTTTGCCTTTATTTTGCGACTTTATTCGTGTCATTTTTAGAATATCAATTATTAAATGCATGCAAAATATTCATGTGTCGGTAAAATATGAATGAATATATTCATAGTAAAGTCTTGACTGTAATACGACATAAACAAAGCATATAGAAGTACTAAATTGTTGAATATATTATAGTAAGTGACTCATTCAAGATTGAGAAAATAGAAATGAAGAGCTGGCTGATTACGATTAAGAATTGATTTTAGTATGGTTATGACCTCATGTCGACTATGGTTCATATCTTTGGTGTTCAGACATTAGGTTGAGAACTGGTCGAGAAAAGGTCTAGAATGGGTTAAGATTTGATCAGACTCCTTGATAACTAGTTCAGACTTTTCACTATAGTCAAGAGTATGGTTGATTATAGTTCAGTGCATTTCGAGTATTGTAACACGTACGATGGGCGTCAAGTAATTTCAAGTGAATTTTAGATTTAATCAGAATGGTCGAGTAAAAATTAGTACAGTTTATTAAAATACTGCCGACGTCTATTTGTTTGTAAGGTATGTTATGCAGTGGGACATTCTAGTAAGAATCACATATGGACATCAGATCATCCCCCCTTATCAAATAAATAAGTTTGCTTTTCTCTGTTCCAAGTTGACATTATCAATGTTAAATTTAAGCAGCGTTAAAAAATATGTCAACTTGGAAAAAATAAATGTTAAAATGAAAATGAGAAGAAGACAAAAGTATGTGTCAACAGTCTTTCATTTTATTCAACTTATGGAATATGATGAACTGTTTGACAAATATAGAATTATATCAACATGTGATTAGATGTGGTTATGTACAATATCAGTAATTAAAAACATTAGCGGAAACCATTTTACTGCACCAGAAGCGCATTTCAACAATTAATGTTATGCTCGAGGCAAAATGTTTAAAAACCCAAAACCAAACATAAATGTTTAGAGCTGATAAAACTAAAAAGGACAAAATGCATAATTAAGACCGAACAAGCGACTAGAGCTAAACAGTATAGGAAGATTATTTTTTAATTAAAACTGATTTCAAAATATGTTGAACTGCAAATTTCAATTAAACAAAATATTCGTATTTTCATGCCAGTACTTTGGTAACTGTGCTGGTGATACCCTCGAGAACTGACAGCCCACTACCAGGGATATCGACTTATGGCTAGTTGTAGTAACAACATTAACAGTACACAATGTATTGCACCACATGCGCAATAAGTAAAGATATCAACTTAATCTTTTCGCTTCTATAATTTGTTATGTAGCTTAGGAAAACCTCAAACTTTACAACTCAAATTATATGAGATATGACCCCCAGGATACAAAGCGGTTTGTAAATTGCATTGAATGGAAATACAAGAATTGATATTTGAAGAATTTTTGTCGGCAATTTTGTATTGATGTATGAATTTCCAGATCATAGAATATTAATTAATCAACACATATATGTTATTTGTAATTTTCAGAAGAGAAAGACTGCCGGGCACAAGGAGGATCTTGTGAATACAACTGTGTAGGATCTAAACCACATTCAAATATTTGTGAAGGTCACATGTCTTGCTGCATAGCATTCCATTAGCAGAAGTTATTAGGACTTATTACAGATTGATAAAACGGAATAAATTGTAATACACAGATGAATAGAAATATGACTCAAAATAAAATTAATGCAATAAAAGGTAACATTTGTTTTTTTTTAGTCAAGTTTGTCCTTCATTTCCATTTTATTCGATAGTTCTCCCTCTTGGTAAATAATAATGTATTGTTAACGCAGGGGACTCAGAGGAAGGGGAGGATGTAGAGAGAAGAGTGAGGGAAGAAAGCTACAAACTTGTTTACAACCAGACCAGAGCAAACAATTGTATATTCTGAGCATTCCTCTGTTATCACTAAAGGGTTGATAAGTTGTATTTGGTGATTTAACAACTGGAGAAAAGAGAAACAGGATTAAGACAACGACAGGTGGAACATATCAATGGGAATCTGCGATATATATATGCAATAACAGTCAACTTAATCATTATGGCGTCCATAAATCGTTTTCTCACTAGCATTCTTTCTTTATTACATTCTATCATACCTAGCAACTACAAAATTGATAGACTTCTTTCCTCTGATGTTCTTCTATCATAAATTCACACACACATGAAAGATAAAATTATTTCCATTTAACGTAAATAAAATACCAAAAAATAGCATTATTTTGCAAATTTTTTTTCGCAAAAATCTTGAGGTAACTATATAGCGTCGAGTTGGGGTCAATTCAAATATATTTAGATGTGAAGGGTTGAAGGCTTATTCATGCTATCCATTATATGATGAGCTAAAAATTTGAATGATTGTTGTAGTAGAAATCATTTCATTGACTAATGATACTATAAGTTTCCTAAACTTATATTGATATATCAAACTTTTGAAATCTTATATTAAGTTCAACAACCAATATTGAATATGCTTTTATAGCAGTAGGTTAAGGACTTTGGTCTTGCTGTCAGAAACGGTGTGATATGTCATTTATTTTGCTTTGTTTCTTTTGCTACCTATTATACCATTACTTCACAGTTAAGTACTTTTCTTGTACTTGTTTTTATTGTATGCATTTTGTGGACGTTTTGTAATATCATAATCGATACAAGACGATCTCAATCCGCTGTATTTTATGTTCTAATTAATACGCTTACATTCAACACTAGTGAGAAGGGGTTTTGTTGTTCACTGCTAACGACGAATGCATGTCTATTAACCGCTCGACTCCGTCCGTCAGTCCTTCCGTAAGACATTGGCTAGAAAACTTTCGTCAACGTTTTCTTGGTTTCTATAACTGACTTTATATTTGTTCTGCCGCTTGATAATTTTGAGTTGTAGTGTATAAGAAATTGTTAGATCTGTCGTGCAGCTATTGCTTGTTTGCATATAGTTTTGAATTTTTCAACACTGATTATACACGGAAAGTTTTCCAACACTATTATTAGCTACTATGGGTGCGAAATGTTATAAATTAGGACTTAAGCTCAATAATGTTGCGTTGTAGCTTGCACGTGTAGGTATTTTTTACATATGCCGTCAGTACCTTACTCTCTGCGGATAATTAATTTTACAACACTCATTGTACACGGATTGTTTTCGTCAATTTTCTATATTTGGTCTGGAACTTGATAATGATAAGTTGTAGCATGAAAGCAGTTTTTACACCTGTTTGCCCATAGTTATAAATTTTACAACACTCATTTTACAAGGAATTGACCTTTTAAGAGGAGAAATGAATAATATGCTTGAACATTAACTGGTTTGTAGTTAATAAAATCCTATTTGCAATAACTGTATATGCGGGCTGCACTTATCTGAGCTGGAAAAGCAATTCTGAGTTGATTTGTAATTATTGTAGCCCTTGTTATGAATGAGAAAGCATTCTCCAATTGAAAAAAAACATCACAGGTTTACAAGGAAACAGGTGAAGGGTGAACATACCGGCCTTAAATTTTGCATCATGTGTACTTGAAAAGCACAACATATGTCGGAATAAAGTGTTCTAGCTTAATATTGTCCGCAGGGCATTTACACAGTTTTCGTCTTTAGCCTTAAAATGGTAAATAAAAGCCAATTCAATCACTTAATATGGACATCATTTCGGGGGAGGGTAAAAGACCGACATAATCATGTGTGTATTATTAGTTACATAGTGTGCTATTGACCTAATACGATATTTATGGGGTCAGTAAATTCTATATTAGGTGGGAACGATGCTCGGATCCACATATGGAATTTACTGACCCCATATATATCGTATTAGGTAACTAGCAAACTGTGTAACGAATTTATTCTACCGACTATCTTAACATGTGGTATTTAGACTAGTGGTCTATCAGAGTGATCAAGTTTTCAATATTAAGAACTTAATTCCATTGGTCTATAAAAAAACAAATTCCAACAATAACAACTTGTTAGCTTTAAATGTGTTTAATGAATCTACTTCAATCGTTCATCATCAATTTCTTCGTTTTTGAAACCTTTCAGATATTTTCTCAACACGGTGTTGTTTTTACAAAGGGATGTAACACCATTACTAACCGTGTATTGAAATAAACCACGCCTACTTAGTCAATATGAAATATACACGGTCTCCACGCGGTTACTTTTAACCAATGATATTCCTAGAAATGTATAGGAGGTAAGATATATATATATATATATATATATATATATATCAATATATCTAACATTTAGAAAATCCGTACACTACGTTTATCCTTTCATACATATATATATATATTAATTGTCGAAATCCGGATATGGTGTACAAAAACCTTTGCACCTTTTGTTTGCGGTATACCATCTTTTCCGCAAGTTTATTGTTTTCTGTTTAGTATTAAATTTATAATTACGATCTATTTATTACATCGGTGATCCGTTTATTTGGCAATCGCCAATGGCAGTCAGCAGGGTTTAAGAACATTTGTTGTTCGACCTGTTAGTCAAATGCGTTTTGTTAAAATATACTTTTTCACTTTTTTGGTCTTTTGGAAAATGTTGTTTGTGCTGTATTTAGACCCCTCTAACAAGAAATTTGTTTTGCATGCACACGTATAAAAATTGCGGTTTTTATCCAACGCAATCATAGGTTTGAACGTTGTTTTCAATTTAGACTTGTTTATATTTTTTCGTTTGGGCTTGTATTATATTTGCCTTCGGGTTTATATGATCCGTTCATCCTATTTTGACTCCTCAAAATTCAAGAGTCTATCCCAAATTGAGGTAAATTGTATGGCTTTCCAAATACCGTTTCGATTCCTAACATCACTGAAGAGACATTAATTGTCGAAATCCGGATATGGTGTACAAAAACCTTTGCACCTTTCGTTTGCGGTATACCATCTTTTCCGCAAGTTTATTGTTTTCTGTTTAGTATTAAATTTATAATTACGATCTATTTATTACATCGGTGATCCGTTTATTTGGCAATCGCCAATGGCAGTCAGCAGGCTTTAAGAACATTTGTTGTTCGACCTGTTAGTCAAATGCGTTTTGTTAAAATATACTTTTTCACTTTTTTGGTCTTTTGGAAAATGTTGTTTGTGCTGTATTTAGACCCCTCTAACAAGAAATTTGTTTTGCATGCACACGTATAAAAATTGCGGTTTTTATCCAACGCAATCATAGGTTTGAACGTTGTTTTCAATTTAGACTTGTTTATATATATATATATATATATATATATATATTAAAGGTGTGAGTTCAAATCCCGTTGAGGGACAAAAAAAAATTGTCAACATAAAAATCTAATTCTAACACTGTTGAGATTAATTTTTATGCGTATATATAAATATATATACATCAATAAATCTTACATTCAGAAAATCCATACTCTAAGTGTATCCTTTCAATCAGTTGACCAGGAAAACACGATAATTAACTTATTTTTACTAAAGTATGGATTCCAGTCATAGCTGCTACTCTTGAAATTTAAGATATGAACAGAGTATAGATTTATATATCATGACTTCAAAACATAATGTACAATTTCTTTGTAAGATATAGTAAATAACCCCTAGGACACCTCCGAATTAAGGTATATAAACATTTACAATATAAATTTACGTATTATTATTTGTACCACGTATGCAGATAATAATGTTCCGACTGAATGTGTTTGTAGGAGTTTTTCTTTTAATCTACTATGTGGGTATTGCAACAGCTACTCCAAGTAAGTACTTCATATGTTCAAAAGAACTTGTTATATCGGATTAAGTTTAAAATTATATCTTGTTTTGTTATCCTTCATGTTTTTTATTCGTTTTTTAATTAAACTACAGAGAAAGACATTATTTGGCAACGAGGTTTTCATGTAAGCATTTTCCTTTTTTGTTTGTCCTAAATAAAATTTGTATCGAATCATATCATATTTTTCTATTATATATAACATATATAGTTGACTTGTGTACAACATGTTAAAGGTAATCAGCCTTCAGCAAAAACAATTGCGTGTGTAAATAATTACAACAGTAAACGGATATAAAATTTAAAAAAAACACATAATGTAACAATGTGTTTGTATTAATACATATGAAAGGCTATCTTCTAGGTGATATAGTCATCCAAAGATTGGCCTTATTGTCATATCCTATTTATGTTATTATATTACGTTATGTTTGATTATTTACAACATTGAAGAGTAAAAAAAACATACGGACCAAAACTAACACAATTAAAAACATTTAATGCAGAGAAGAAAAAGGCTTAGGTCAGTATATGTAAGAGAGAGGCGAAAGATACCAAAAGGACATTCTGACTCATAAGTCGAAAATAAACTGATAGCGCCATAACAAAAAAAGAAAAAGATCAAGAAAAAACAACTATATACAAGACACAACATAGAAGACTAAAGACTGAGCAACACAAACCCCACCAAAAACCAGGGATGATCTCAGGAGCTTCGGAAGGGTAGGCAGATCCTGATTCACATGTGGCACCCGTCGTGAGAATGATAATCCTTTTCGTCATGATTGAATATGAGCATGAGCGTTAGAAAGTGTTTATTATTCTCTTACAAACTTAGAATATTGTAAAGAGCTCAAAGAGCTTGATTGGTTTTAATCAAGAATTTGTTTCATTGTCAATACAATGTTTATAATCAATGTATGACTACCGTTAAAGGCATTTCATTTGTGGATTAGTCTTATTGATGTAAAAACTTACTTTTAATTTGGGAAATTTTCATAAATTGTGTTTTGACATAAGATGACACAACGGTACAATGAAATGATAGAAATTGTATAAGTTTCCTAATTATGAGTATGCATGTAAATTATGTAATAACTTAATGAAGAATTATCTTTTTGTTTGTTTACATTTCATTTTATCAAAATCAGAGTTACAACTAAATTGTATTCCACAACCATTTGTATTCCATTACTTTACATAAAATAACTACTTAATTAACTAAATTTAAATGTTCAAATAAAACGCTTTTTATATGAAATTCAAACGTTAATATAATTTCCTGTTAAAATTGAATCGGTATATTGGATAAGACTATTCTTACCAAATGCGATTACATTAACATTAATCTAAGTTTTAGTAAGCGCATCAGACAAAAATTAAAATTTAAGTTAGTTTTTTTTTTTCTTTTTTGCATTGCTTTGGTGTATTTTTTTTGTAATTTAGAAGTTATAAATATTTACATAATAACATTTACGGCACCAATTCAATTGCACCAGTAAAAAGTTTTTGTTTGTATCAAAATTCAACTTTTAATCAATAATAATTCGTTCAAGCTGAAAATGTGCTTCCGGGCAGTTGTAACTCATTTATAGAAATTCTTTGTTTTGAGCAGTAAATAGGCCTAACCTATAGGATAATACCTTACTAAGAACATCATTTAATTCATTCTTCACAATTAATGAACATCAAATTCTACAATTTCATTTGTCGAGAGCAATTTGCTATGTTCTAATTTTTAAAAGTTCACAAAGTACGCAAAACAAAATAAACTAAAGGTATGTAATTAAAAATTCTTTTGTTTATCCGGTGATTGATACATTCAATTATTATCCCGGATTAGAAAATATCTTCTCCTTGACAATAAAATTCAAATCCAAATAACGCAATCTGTAACATTTGTAAAAATATTATCTATATTAAATGATTTAAATGACATAATTTTTCATTATCAGCCACGGATGAAGGTTGTGATGCTATTCAGGGCAAGTGTCAAAATGTGACGTTCGCACGTTGTTTTGGTGCCATTAAATACTATGAGTTGTTATGTGCAGGAAAATTTATGTCTTGCTGTGCCAGGAAAACTGCTAGTAACTATAATTGACATTTATTTGTTCTTTAACCTTAACTGAAAGTACATTCGAACATATTATTTTCGCAAACAGTCGCCCAACTTTGCTTTTAAATAAGAATTAAATGTTTTTGTCTAGTGGTATCACTACAAACCGTTAGAGTCTAAAATTGGCAGTATTTATACAGTGACTGTACTGATTTTTTGTATCTCGCCCATATGAATAGGCCTCATTGCCAAACTGTAGTCAGAACCATACAAAACATTATGAACTTCTATTTAAACTTCACTTTACCAGTTCATATCCATATAAAAAAGTCTGAACCATACTCAACTTAAATCTGAACCAAACTCGACGCCGGTCTGTACCAATCATGAACCATTATCAAGAATAAACTGATGTTAAGTTTTTATGATGTATATGCAAAAAAAGTTGCATTGCATTTTGCATGTTCAAATTGATTTTCTTTCAAAAAAGTAAAATGAAAAAAATACCGAACTCCAAGGAAAATTCAAAGCGGAAAGTCCCTTATCAAATGACAAAATCAAAAGCTCTAACACATCAAACGAATGGAAAACAACTGTCATATTCCTGACTTGTGCGTAGAAAATGGTGGATTACACCTGGTTTTAATCGCTAGCTGAATCAATCATTTGTATTACAGTTGCAGGTTCATTTTATCTGACAATTAAGGAACGCCAAAACTGTCTTGTTATGCCGATTTTCATTATATGATGTACATTTACCTTTATATGATGTGCACTTGTCATTATATGATGTGCAAACACCTTTATATGATGTGCAAATATCCTTATATGATGTGCAAATATCCTTATATGATGTGCAAATATACTTAAATGATCTTTGATGATCAACCCCCCCCCCCCGGTATGGATGAAAGGAGATATGGGATGAACTTCAACTAAGTACATTACATTTTCGCGCAGCTTTTTATTATGTTTTCGTGCATTTATTTTACAGCTTCAACTAGATGGTGATGGATGGATGCTTAACGTCCAGCGCAAATTGATATGCATATTCAGGACGCGTTAATGTAATATATGTAATATATATTTACCCTGCTTTGTACAAGACCGACACGCTGAGCCGGTTTTTTAACGTGCTAGTTCACAAGGTAACATTCCACAGGAAGACATGTCACCTCACCCGGAAACATTATTCTGATTCCGAGCGGACCAGTCATTGCTCTTAATGCCGCGTGCTTAGCGAGGAAGCAGTAAATACCAATGTTAAAGTCTTTGGTTTGGTCCGACCGGGGTTCGAACCCACGACCTACCGTTCTCGAGGCGAACACGCTTTAACGAAACCACCGAGGCGGTGCTTCAACTAGACAGTAATCTGCAATATGAAAGGTTTCGTGGGAGGCCGCTCATACATACACATCCAGACTCATGGAATCGAACTGCAAACATGAATAAGGTATCGACCATTGATTCATCTTTTTTTAGGTGGGGAATTTTTTTTTTGTAAATGTTTCATTCCAAATTACTTAATTTTCATTTATTATTTATTTTCAGAAGGGAAGCGAAAAAATAATTTGTTTCAATTGAAAATAAGGGGGAAAATAAAACAATTATGAAAAAAAGCTTTGGTTACAAGGATCTGACACCAATCCATTTTACTTTCTGTTATGGTAATTATCACATCAGCCAATGAAATTTGAGCCTTCAAATCTTTGAAGGTGTGTATCAATCCAACAAACCCAGAGAATCCCAAATGGTCTTTAAAACAGAAAATAATGGAGCGTTTTCCGATCCTTGTAAGCAAAATTTAAAGCTTGGACACACAAGATCTGTATTTTAATCAGATTGGTGTTTAAATGAACATAAAAAAACTGCATTAATTTATTGTTTACTGAGGCCTGTTGGTCTCACACAGATATACAGTTGTGTTATTTTTTTTAAGTGAAGCGCTACAGAAGTAAAGTAAAGCTCTATATAGATTCAATGTCAAGCGCTGTAGATAAAATGTCCAGCGCTGTAAATATAAATTTCCTTTACATCTCCAGCGCTGGACTTTACATCTCAAGACCAACAAGGCTCCGTAAATATTAAAGCTTGAGGATTGAGGATATTAAAAATATCTTTTTTAAAATAAAGTCCAATTTTCCAACAGTAACTTTTATTGTCATACAGGCCTGTAAGGCCATGTAAGCTATTCTCGTCATTAAGCATACGTCGTCCGTAAACTTTCACATTTTCACCTTCTTCTCTGAAACCACTCAGCCAATTTCAATAAATCTTTGCAAGAATAATGTATTGAAAGTCCTATACAAAACACTTCACCTTCATTTAGTTCTGATTGGTAAAAAATCATACCACCAGAGTCAATCTTTGAATTTGACAGGTCAATTTTTAAAAATCATTTTCATTGAAACTGCAAAAATAAACGTCTGGAAACTCTATATGATTAATGATGAGTAGACCCCTTTTAACTATTAACATTTATTATTGATAGGTTGCCGATACTGGTCACAGTGGCACATAGTTTCCATTGAAAATAATTGGGAAATAGTATTATTAAGTCACTTTTTAATTAAAAAACTGCCCAGAAATGTCAAGATCTATACCTACATGTATTTCTATTTCCACCAAATTTATTCCGGCGATGAATCCTTGTAGGGGTAATTGGCTTTAAATAATAGTTTTGAGATAGAAACTAAACAGTTGAAATGGTGAGCAATACACGATCTAGAGCAATGTCCAAATAGATAGCCCTACCTTTTATATTGATTTTGGATAAAGACTCGAGTATCGTATTCTTAATTTTAACACATTTGTTCAAGTAAAAAATAATGTTTTGTAAATATTTGTCCCTCCAAGCATTCTAAAATTCCGAACCCTTAAATAATTTTTTTTCGATAAAGTTTCAGTTCGGGGATATTGAGTTTGCGGCGGTGGCTATTAATATTTTGTGTTTATCTTGAAAACTACAATAGATTAAAAAAAAAAAGAATGGTGCAATGAAAACAGTCTGAATATGCTCTACAGTAAAGGTTCCATTTGGGCAATTTGGGCTCTTATGAGTTTTGTTGTTTTATTGCCTATTATCTTGCTAACTTATCTGTAGAGTAACCTTTTATTGCAAAATGGTATAGACAAGAACAGATTAACAAATAGATAATCAAACATGACTGAAATTTTAAATCAACTACTAAGGGTCATTTTCTTTCATTAAGAGGGGAGAAGGTGGGAGGAAACATGGAAATTTCTCTCTTTTTTTTAAGTCCCCACCTTGAAGAAGGAAAATTAATTCAAGACCCCACTTCCCATAGATATAAACATTTAACCCCACACACCCCCAAACACACACACACATTTCTCAATACTTTTGTTCGTAATAACAAAAAAATGCATTATACTTCTAATGCTATTCTATTATAAGTATAAAATATTGCGTCAGTAGTGGATCTAGAACTTCAAGTGAGGAAGCTGTTTGCGACTTCAGGGAAATTTATTTGGATATGCTGGTAATTGTCTCATTGGTATTTACCACACCATCATTCAATTTAAGTTGAAACTTAGGATTGAGGTCTTAACAATTGAGGCGAGCGGAGCGAGTCGTAAAAAAATGATGTCTTTCGAGTCAAAATAATTTTTTACTGTAGGGGGAAGTGTAGGGTGTGGGTCGAACCCTGAACAATTGAGGCAACTATGGACACACCATTCAAGCTTGATACAGCTCTGAATTTTTATTATGATTAAATATTTGACACAGCATAGGTTTCTGACACAGAATGAATGTGGTCTAAGATCTTATAAAATTGAAATTGGATATTTACCTATAACATGGTCCAATATCCAAAATCTAAATACATGGTTAGATTTAGCATATCAAAGAACCCCAAGAATTCAATTTTTGTTGAAATCAAACATAGTTTAATTTGGACCCTTTGGACCTTAATGTGAACCAATTTGAAAACGATGCTCAAAATAAAAAAACTAAATACACGATTTGATTCGGCATATCAAAGAAACCAAATACTTTATTTTTTTGATGAAATTATTCAAAGATTAATTTTGGACCCTTTTGACCTCAATTTCGGACCAATATAAAAACGGGGCCAAAATCAAAAATCTGATTACATGGTTAGATTCAGCATATTAAAGAAATCCAAGAATTCAAGTTTTTTTATTGAACCCCTTTGAAATTGGTCAAGAAATAAGCATTTTATACAGTATTAGAAAAGTATTGTTTTTGTTCCCTAATTCCTTAATGTTTGAGGCCATAACACCAAAAATTAATCCCTAACTTAATTTTTTGGTATGGAACCTTGTGGTACAGTTTCATAGAGATCCATACATGCATACACAAGTGATTGTCTCGAAACAAGAAAAATGCTTGTTTTTTGCCCCTTTTTGGCCCCTAATTCCTAACTAGTTAAGACAATTACCCCAAAACCCAACCCCAAACTGCCTTTTGTAGACTGGAACCTTGTGGTACAATTTGAAAGAGATTCATACACCTATACTCAAGTTATTGTCTGGACACCAAATGTCTTCGGATGACGACGACATCGCCATACTATTATACGGCCGCAAAGGACAAGGTACGATAAGGGGCATTTTGGCCCCCTCTCCAAATATGTTTATATTCATATAATTGATAGCCCTTTGAATAGAAACTTGAAAAAATAATGATTTTTTTATGTTTCGGTGAATGGATGGTTGCCTAGCAACGGATTCATAGAATAGCTATTTTATCACTTGAAAATGGCTTAAACTGTGCATATTAACACAATTCCTTACTGAAATGATTGTGTAAGTATAACTTGAAGTTAAGAATGAGAAGTCACTTTAATTTCAGTTTACAAAAATGACCGGTCCCTTACAGGAGTCATTACCCTTTCAATGTCTGATTTTTGTCCATTTTTGTGTCTTTCTTTACTAATATCTTGAGAAAAGTAATATATAAAGAGAAACATGACCAGCTAAAATGATCAGCAAGGCAAAATTTACAAAAAATGAACATACTTGAAATTTATGTATCAACTTCTAATAGAAGAAACTGCCTCTAAATAGAAAAGATATTTTCAATGAAAACAAACTATTTTGATTGCTTCCTTTCTGAAACAAATAATGCCCCCCCCCCCAGCCCCCCCCCCCCCCCCCCCCCCCGAAAAAAAAACAAAAGATGAATGGTATCCTTAGCCCTGTCTACAGTTTTTGAGTTTTGAGTCTTGAGGTGTAAACATGAGCGACTTCCTAGGAAACCTTTTATGTTGCGGGTTACTGTCTAGTTGAAGAATAAATACACGAAAACGTAATAGAAAGCTGTGCGCAAATGTAATGCACTTAGTTGAAGTTCATCCCATATCTCCTTTCATCCATACCGGGGCCGAGTGGTCTAAATAGTCGAAAAACTGTATCACTTGCCTGTCAACACTGAGGTTGTGAGTTCGTATCCTGCACAAGAAGGCAGGTAAGCTCGACTCCAATCTAAATTGACTATAATTGTCAGTTTTCCTACCGAAGGTCGGTGGTTCTCTCCGGGTACTACGGCTTCCTCCACCAATATAAACTGACCGCCTCGAAATAGCACGATAGTGCTGAAAGACGCGTTAAACACCAATTAATCAACCAATTATTCAATCAATCATCCATACCGTTATACGTATGCATGAGTAGAACATTATATAGCTATTGTTATGAAATACTTTTTAAAAATGACTGTGATTTAATTGGTATAGGAATTGAATTAAGATAAAGCGGCAATTCACAAAGAGGAAATATACATACCGGTATAAGTGTCTTTGCAATTAAAGTTGTTTTACCATATTTTCGCCGCAGCAGGGAAACACTTTCGGAAGCTGATTCGAGGCTGGAGCTACTAAATCAGAAACAGTTAACTGGCATTCAAAACGAAGATGCAGAATATCCTCTGGTATATCAAATATTTGAACTCCAGGTGCTCAATACACAGTCGAGTACCCATAATTCAATATCTTTAACCGTATATTCATTATTGTAGACCCATCAAATAAACCTAATCTTTGCAATTCATATTTTGACAGTTTTCAAACAATTATATAAGATGTGATTTTTTCGTCTTTAAAACGAGGTACCAATGTGCCAATGTTTATCTCTTTTAAAATCTCAACCATTTTCCAAACGATATCTACAAATTTGAGCGGGGTTTATAGTAATTCCGGAGAAGAAGATCGGAATCAGTTATGAGTTAGACAGTTATCGTTCTAATCGTATTCCTGTTCATTGACCATAACAATGATGAAATTTTAAAGCATATCATATAATGTTACAAGCACATAATATAATGACACAACCACATCATATAAAAATGTTTGCACATAATATAAGGGAAAATGCACATCATATAAGGATATTTGCACATCATATAAGTATATTTGCATATCATATAAGTACCATTGCACATCATATAAGTACTTTTGCACATCATATAAATATATTTGCACATCATATAAGTATATTTGCACATCATATAAGGATGTTTGCACATCATATAAGTATATTTGCACATCATATTAGGATATTTGCATATCATATAAAGGTGTTTGCAAATCATATAATGACAAGTGCACATCATATAAAGGTAAATGCACATCATATAATGAAAATGGTCATAATAAGACAGTTTTGGCGTTCCATGGACAATGATATATATTATGCATATACAAATTTAGATAGAAATTGTTCAATGAATTGATTTCTGTTATAGAAGTCCGTGGAATCTGTTAAACTTAAGAAGTCAAACCACCAATGCTGCTGTTTTCATTACCGTAACCAATTTATGAATTTCTTCAATTAATCAAAAACACCCCAATTTCATGTGTATTATCTGAAATTTTCATTATATACATGTACATCGAATGTAACGTGTTCTATAGCTGTTGTTTTGTTATATATAAATATATATACAAAAGTGCAATTCATGTTTTAGAATATATAGAATATATCCAGCTTTCCTTTCTCTATATTTAGCATGATAACTTGACGTCCCTAATATCCTTATTTCTTTAAACACATCGCGAACATAATCTACAGAGTCACCAGGATTCTGTAGATCTGACATCAGATGTTTGTTAATTATAAGATGTAATAAACAATACGTTGCTGAGTGAACTACATATTTTTACCTGCTGGGCTAAATAACAAATTGCCATCATGGTAACTGTTAAATTCAATGTCACAGGTGGACATTGATGATTCAAATTTGTAGTTCAAAGATACATCATTGTTTTAATAGGTGATCTTTGGATTGGAAAAATGAAAAATACAGGAAGTTGCTAATAAATTCTACATGTTTTAAAATCATATAAAAAATGAAAATATTAAACTTTAATGTTATATACTACTGTTGATATTTCATACTGAATATTTATGTAAAATAGTAATGTAGAAATATCATTTGTTTCTTGTGTTGTTGTATTTCTTTATCAATGACATATGCCTTAAATCTAATTTTATTAATTTTCTATACCTGGTCATAGAATGGTTTTCTGGATTTTTAATTACTTCCTGTTAAAACAAACTTTTTTATGTCTAATTTAGGGGTTAATATTATTCATTAGACTGTACCTGTCAAGGAAATGATTTGTATAAAGCATATCAACCTTTCTGTTTTAGTTTTCTATAGCCGATTTGAATTTGTCTGCATCCTGTTAAATCAACGAAATTTACCTTACATTAGTGATTTAATTAATTCATGTCATTTGTAGCAATATTAGTAATCTAATTGCATGGTTATATATTCATATATTGAATATGTGGTGCTGTTAAAGTGTGGGCATGAATGTATTCTTATTAAACTCTTTACTGAAAATAAGACATAAAAAAGCATAGGAAAGTACTTTATTTTTGAAAAAATTATTGTAAGTGACACATTCAAGATTGAGAAAATAGAAATAAACAGCTGGTTGATTATGACTTGGAGTTGATATTAGTATTATTAAGAACTTTGGTCAGTATTTTGAATACCTTTGTTGGAGGATGGTTCAGACATTAAAAACTGGTTGAGAACTGATCAAGAACAGGTCTAAATTGAGGGGATAGCTTTGCTTTATTTGCTAAATTGCATATCTTATTTTGCATAAAAAAGTATTTACAAAAATAATTCATTTCAGCTTTTATTATATTGTTTAAAATAGTAGAGTAGTTAAATTTCCAAAGAGCTCACAGTTATCATGTACTTTGTGTTAGGAGTACAACAGATTTATATCTTCATTTTGCTTTGTTTGTAAATATGTTTATTGCTATATTGATATGCAAAGAAACTATTAAACTGTGGTTCTTTCTCCCAGGTTAAGACTTGATCAGACTGCTTGAGAACAAGTTAAGTCTTTTAAGTACGGTCAAGACTACGGTCGATTACAATTCAGTACATTTCGAGTTATATATATATATACAAGTCTACATTGAAAACAACGTTCAAACCTATGATTGCGTTGGATAAAAACCGCAATTTTTATACGTGTGCATGTAAATCAAATTTCTTGGTAGAGGGGTCTAAATACAGCACAAACAACATTTTCCAAAAGACCAAATAAGTGAAAAAGTATATCTTAACAAAACGCATTTGACTAGCAGGTCGAACATCTGAAGTTCTAAAACCCTGCTGACTGCCATTGGCGATTGCCAAATAAACGGATCACAAGATGTAACAAAATAGATCTTATAATTAATTTATTATTGGGCGGGTGATACCATCGAAAACGAACCATCCTCTACAAGAGGTATCAACGCATGTCCAGTGGTAGTAAACACTTTAACGGTACACATTGTACTGTACCACATGCGCAATAAGTAAAAATAACAACCTTAAGATCATCTTAATCTTCTGCTCCTATAGTTTGTTGTGTAGCTTAGAAATGCATCAAACATTTCAACTTAAATTATATGAAATAGGACACCCTTCCCCATTTCCCGATGATACTAGGTTTAGCTAGCAATAAAACCAGGTATAAACACCGTTTTCTTCGGAAAGTGCCTGTACCACGTCAGGAATATGACACTTGTTTTCCACTTGTTTCGTTGGTTGATAAAGTTTGATTTTGTCAGTTTTAACGGACTCCCACTTTTGAATTTACCTTGGAGTTCGTTATACTTTTATACTACGCCGTTCATAATTTGCATTAAATAGAAATACCAGAATTTAATTTTGAAGAATTTTTGTCGTCAATTTTGTATTGATGTAGATATAAGGAGATGTGGTATGAGTGCCAATGAGACAACTCTCCATCCAAGTAACAATTTGTAAAAGTAAACCATTATATGTGTAACTTTACAGATCACAAATGTTATTAAGCAACACATGTATGTTATTTGTAATTTACAGAAGAGAAAGACTGCCAGGCACAAGGAGGCTCTTGTGAATACCACTGTGTAGGATCGAAACCACATGCAAATATTTGTGAAGGTCACATGTCTTGCTGCATAGCATTCAATTAGCAGCAGTTATTACAGATTGATAAACGAAATAAATATCTTACATATATGAAGAATAGAAATATGACTTTAAATAAAATTAATGCAATAAATTTTACAACTGCTACACATTTCTTTTAATATTTGTCTTTTTGTAGAAAGATTTGTCCTTAATTTCCGATTTAGTCGGAATTCTCGCTCTTGGTAAATATTAATATATTTTTTGGGAAAGGGAGGATGTAAAGAGAAGTGTGAGGGGGAAAGAGAGACATAGAGAAGAGTGAGGGGAAAAAGAGACATAGAGAAGAAAGCGTCGGATATTTATTCACATTTATTGTTGCATTGCACAGGGTAGACGCTAATTGAACCTAACATTTTGAAAGGTGAGTATTGCCGATACTGGAATAAATTTCGACGAAAGTGCCAATGACAACTTCGGCGCAACAGTAATAGTCCTGATGAGACCGGGCGGGTGTTAATAATTGTGTGCAAGTTGGTTTGCGTTGACTGATTACAAAACAATATACAAGAGAAGACACTCAGGGATTGTTCAGCCCATGTAAGCTAAATCATGCAAATAGGTATATGTATAAGGCAGATAATAGAAGAATGATTATGATTTCCAATTGATTGTTCCGATTAACATTGTTAATGTTAAATGATTGACGTTATTGCAATCAATATTTCGTAGAAAAAGAATTCTTTTGATATGACACCTAGGATTTTTGTGCTCATTGAAACCACAACAGTACGAATACAATGGCACACTTTAATATGCATGACACTTTTTATTAATCATTAATCAATAATCAATAAAAAAAAAACTGATCCTAATATTAATGATTCAAGATTCATTTGTAATAGCAAATAGCGAATTCAATTGGGAAATTCTTAATAGTTTGGTTGTGAAGGTCTGTGTCGACAATCAAGAATCTTCCATGAGAATATAAGCAAGTGTGTTCCTTCAAATAGGTGGAAAACATTTCAAACATGATATGAAATAATTATTTAAGCAAACTATATTTACAGACATAAATAAATATATTGTTTTTGTCACATGGACTCTATAATACATTCCAATCTGTTCAAATTGTAAACCATTAAACATAGATTTTAGAAGGAAACACAATAACATGTTTTCATATGCATAAGTCCCTTAAGAAACAATATTAAACACTACATGACATTATTATTTCAACATGCATCTGTTACATCTGCACTGTATTATAATAGGGAGTTGCGTTGTCATACAAATTATTGTGCAGTAGCGTATAATGCAAAGCGTGTCTCTTTAGAAACCCAACATTTAGTTGATTAAAAGATTTGAATGGTACTACTAGTATACTATTAAAATTTTTGGTCAAGAATAATTAGATGGAAAAAAGAAAACTATCCAGGGCTACATATTTAGTTAATGTAGTTTAGATTGAACTGCTGTGAATAAAATATCAATGTTGGGGTATACATAATGTGACAAAAAGGAGAATGACTCTTTGTTTTCTTCACATTAGCATGAATAGATAATTTGATAGAAATTGGATATGCAGTTTCACAAGAGATCTAAATACATTTAAATTCACACATTATTCAAAGCGACTGTACTGCATATCCTATTTAGTCTTAATCTAACTGGAAATATCCTTATTTCACATGTAGATAGTTTGAAATAAGTTGATTTTGGAGTTGAGGGGAAAACAAAATTATAGGTTCAAATTGGCCCTATTGTCTTTTAAGTGCTGATGCTAGGTGGCAAGTGATAGCAAAAACTCACAATGTTCCTTTACAAAAATAAGGAGATGTGGTATGAATCCCAATGAGAGAACTACCTACCAGATCCCAAAGGACCAGGATGTAAACAACTAATGGTTATCGTATGGACTTCATCAATTAAAAACACCCGTACCGTATACTAAACTATAAAAGGCCAACGACATGTGAAACAATTGAAGTGAGAAATGAGAAACCCACGGCCTAAATGATATCGGATATGTTCCTTATGTCGTAACTACAATACCCTCCCTTTTCACGAATGTGACTTACCGAATTAGACTATTTACCCGATTTGTAATAACATAAGCAACACGACGGGTGCCACATGTGGAGCAGGATCTGCTTAACCCTTCCGGAGCACCTGAGATCACCCCCAGTTTTTGGTTGGGTTCGTGTTGCTTAGTCTTTGGTTTTCTATGTTGTGTCATCTGTACTATTATTTGTCTGTCTTTTTATTTTGGCCATGGCGTTGTCAGATTGTTTTCGATCTATGAGTTTGACTGTCCCTCTGGTATCTTTCGTCCCTCTTTTATAACAAAACAATAAATGAAAAATTTGCCGTTGAGCAACTAACGACAACTATTGACAAACAGCATATAACGAATGTTGCGGAGTTAAATATGCCCAAGCCTGTTCAACCTCCCCTACATGTGACATTTGAAAAAAATTGAAAATAATCAGTTGGAACGGATTTATCTCATGATCATCAGATCGGCACACAGCATTACTCAAAACAACAACAAAAAACAAAAATAACAAAGTGCCGGTCTAAGATTACTAGCAGGTACTGAATGCAAGTTAAAGCTGATGTCAATTCATAAACCATTTTTACAAAATGAAATACTATCAACTCACAGCTAAACACATCATAAGATAAAAAAAATATATTACGATAAGTTTGAGAGGCACAGAAAATTAATAAATGAACAATATTCAAAATATGATTCCGAATACTGTAAATTCAGAAATTATTGCGTGCATTTATTATTGCGATTTTTTTCATTTTAGACTAAAATGCGATTATAATTTTTGCGATATTGAGAAAAATCCTGTTTAATTCATTTAAAAAATTTCAAAATGCGAGTTTAAATTATTGCGATTATAACTCTGTCGCATTTTTCGCAATAATAAAAACATCGCAATAATTTCTGAATTTACAGTACTAAGATGGTTAGTTTTCATGACACGTGTTTCTATTATACCTTTCATCAGGAAGGCTAAAGGTAAAAAGTGTGTACAAGTACAAATACCAAAAATGTATAATGGTCGTTATCATCAAAACAGGAATTTATCAAACTTCGAATTCTTGTCTAAGGACTTATTCCTTGTGCCGGTTTGGCTTTACTTTTAAGTCCCGATAGGTGTTATGGGCACTTCAACGTTTGTATTAGGTTATGGATTTTCAAATATATAGGTCTCGAGCATCACTGAAGAGTTATGAGCATTTGGTGCAATAAATTTGCTGATGTAGTTTAAATGTTATGGATAAAGACACAATAGTTTGTATTTTTAATATATCTATTTGAAGGTTAAAAAATAGAAGATTGAGATATCTATAAGAGCCTTTCTTTTGTTTTTATTTATCTCGTAAATTGGAGTTTTGTGATTTTTTTACACAAAGGTTCCTGATTATATGTATTAAAGCCAAAATTTATATGGCATTGCACAATAGTTTTCATGATTATAACATCCGATTTATCACATATCAAATTCCTCGAAATACGTTTTCGGTTCAACCAAGTTGATTTTCTAACATGAATTACCCAGCCACTGGATATACTTCAAATTGGTCTATACCTGCCTTTTCTACTATGGTAATAATCCTTACTTGCGCTGAGCTGTTCTACACTTGAGGCAAACTCAACATTGGACGGATTTAGATATTATTTTCACGCTAAGCAATTAATTATGTAGCTCTTTGTGTATTACATTTCCCAATTATGTTGCAAGTAAAAATATTAGAAAGTAAGATAAATCCGAACATAACAATGCACTCTATACATTTAGTGAATCTTATGTATAAAAAACAAGGACAAATTAGTGAGATCCAAATTTCGTATGTTTTAAATCACATAAGGCTACGAATTTAGCAGAAACGGTTTATGTGCAAGTAGTTAATTTGGAAATGTACATACGATCAAAAGGTGGGGTACACAAAATGTTATAAGACAGGACAATGGATCTTTGTTTTCCTTACATTCTGTTATTCAGATTGGCTATACAGTATACAGTTTACTTTAGCAAATATGAAAATGCGATTAAAATGACATATGGGTCAATGCATATGACTGTTGATGATGTTTAACTCAAACACACTTGGCTATTTCATAGTGGGCATTTTTTTATTTTATAGAGGAAGCCAGTGTATCCAGAGAGAACCTCGGACATTCGGCATGATAACTGACAATCCTCTTTAATGAAGATAAGAGTTGAACTCACCTCAGTGATGACAAACTAGTGCTCACTGTAGATTAGTATTTTTTCAAGAAAAAAACCAATATTGGATTTTCTCAAATTTTAGGGTAGATAGACCTTGTTAGGCTGACCATTTTTGCAATTAACATTCTTAACCTAGCTCCTATATTTTTTTAAAATAAAACAAACTGTGAAAATGAATAAAAATCTTTCAGATATGATTGTCAGTTTTTCTTTAATATTCTAAATAGAACTTGTCTTCTTGATCATTTTTGCAACTTACGCTTTTAACATAGTTCCTAAAGTTGTTGAGACAAGAGCATTGAACTTTTTTTTTATTAGTTGTTTTTCAGTATTCAGGCTTCAACAATCCTTTTACATCATGTACATCACCACCTGACTTTGGAGTTGAGGGTTTTGATGAATAAAACAAAAATTAAATAAAAGAGAGGCAAAAGATACCAAAGGGACTTTCAAATTCATATAAGTCGAAAATAACCTGACAACGTCATGGCAAAAAAATAAAAAGACAAAAAGACAAACAACAGTACACAAAACACACAAAATAAAAAAACACTAAAGACTGAGCAACATAATCCCCACCAAAAACCTGTGGTGATTTCAGATGCTCCTGAAGGGTAGACAGATTCTGCTCCACATGTAGCACCCGTCGTGTTGCTCATGTAAGTACAAACCCGGGGATTGAATACATTTTTCCACTAAAGTGAATATATATAATTTTAATATCAACGTTATAACAAAAAGGGAAAAAGAGCAATCACACACACTTTTGCACTTGCACTTGCATTTACATAACATACATCAACTTGTATATTGCAAAGAAAAAAAATGTTATCTTTGTAAAGATCTGCTCTTTATAAATTGTAAGTTCTTTTTTTTATAATATAGAACTGCCTAAAGTCAAAAATCAACA